CTTCATTCACTGCCCTGTAGTCTATTCCTTTGTCTTATGTTTTCCAACTTTGGAAAAGCTACAAACTCATTCCATTTGTTAGCCTTTCCATGTAAGTTGTTTATTGTGCCAAATCTCACTCATTTTCATGGAAAAGCGCCTGTAACGCAGTGTGTGTACCATGTATATTAAGTATTACTTTGTTTTTTAAGCCACTAATCCTTGAAACACACATTTTAACAAACTCAAAATCTACACATTCTTTCTTTTAATAGTTTCAAAGTTAATTCCGCTATCTACAGTACATACTTCTAGAAGAATGCCACTAGAGCAGAATTCATTTATTCCAAAAAAATTTATTGCATGTCTCTTGTTAGTAAGGGCACTGGTGAAATACAGGTTAAATTACATAGTTCCTGACCTCAAGATTCTCAAATTCTTGTAGTAATACCAACAAATAGCTACAGTTGTTTTTGTTTAGTCATGTCTGACAGTAGACTGTGCTAAATTCTATAGCAGAGGAACATACAAAGCACAATAATGAAATAAAGAGACCCGAGAGAACAGCAATTTTGCTTGGTAGGAAGTTAGAAAAGGCCTCCTTTAGGAAGCACTCCTAGACTCAGGATGTAGAAGGTTGAATAGAAATTTTCTAGGGGAAAGGAAAGGAAAATTAAACAAACTTGAGCCCCTTCAGTGAGCCAGACACCTTACGTAAAGTATTTAATAAGCTACTCTCATAAGACTTACCAGATAGGTTTTTATTACCACATTTTTTTTTACAAAATTTTAAAAAGATTAAGTCATTTGTTCAAGATAACAAAGTAGGTGAGCTATGAAGACTGATTCAAGCACTGTGCTTTGGATTCAAAAATTGTCTGTCCTCTTTCCTTGGCACCATACTGCTTCCCAACAAAGCAGAAGGGTATAAGACTAGTAGTTTTACATCCTGTATGATGCCATCTACATAAAGTTCAAGAGCAGGCAAAATTTACCTATGATGACAGAGGTCAGAATAGTAACTATGTTTGGCAGAGGTGATATTTGGGGAATAGGAGGGAGACTTATAGGGTGCTGGGCAGGTTATGCATGTTGGTATATGTATAGATTCATTGAGCTGTACATGTAAGATTTGTGAATTATACCTCAAAAATAAAAATAAAAACATATTTGTGGGACTTCTCTGGTAGTCCAGTGGTTAAGAATCCACCTTGTAATGCAGAGGACTCGGGTTTGATCCCTCATCAGGGAACTAAGATCCCACAAGCAGCAGGGCAACTAAGCCCGCGAGCAGAGACTACTGAGCCCACACACAGCAATGAAAGTATTTTGCATGACACAACAAAGATCCCGCGTGCCACACTAAGACCCAATGCAGCCAAATAAGTAAATTAAAAAAAACAAACATATTTGCTAGGTACTATGGCTTTTATAGGGCAAGAAAGTTGACCTCTGGATTCTCATAATGCCTTTTTTATTGACAGCCTGCTTATTTTAGATATTATTTTTCACTAAATAGAATGGATTAATTACAAGTAATGAAAATGGATCAGTCTTGCCTCTCTTAAACGTAGGTCTTTAATCTGCTTCCTAACAATCTTAACTGCCAAGATCATAAAATTCTGTATTTTAAGAGATGAAGAGCTGCTTTGAGACTTCTACAAGGGCTGCCACCTAGATTTTTTTTGAGGCTCTGATGAAAGCAAAACTATAGCCCTCCTCTCCAGAAATCTACTCTGCACAAAATTTTGCATGGGATTTTGTGATTATCATACCACTTAGGATCCACCTAACAGGCAAAGATCTCAAATTAAGATTCTCTGAGCTAACCTAATCATTTCCTACAGATGAAAAAATAAGAGCCAAAAAAGGAAAGGGATCTGTTTAGGGGCTGAAGGAAGATAAAACCCAGACCTTCTGATGCTGTTCACATTTATGCTGTTCAGTCTATCTCCTCTTTAGATATCATTAGATTTCTTTTGCCTCAAAGCCTCCAACTGGGGAGACCTTGGGTTCAAAAGAGCTTCCATAATATCATGTATCCTACATTTTGTAATTGGAATCACATCAGGAGCTGGCCAAATTTTACCTTGTATTTATTGGACAACAATATGTGCAAAGCTGAGTGGAGGACATTCGTCCTTTTTTTTTTTTTTTTCATGTATTACCTCAAAGCCCAGAACTAAACCTAAAATGAAAATGTAATAAAAGTTTTTTCTTTTCCTTTTTCAAAATTGTTTTAGAGAAATCAATCCTGAGATGTTCCCTCTATTCACATTCTGAAACTTAAAACTTTATTCTATGTTGAACTTTGTAACACTAGAAAGATCCCATATAACACCAAAGATCCCATTGAACTCTTCATTCTGTACACTTTCCAGAAGTCTCTGATTAAAAACAATTAAATTCCAACCTGACTCAAGAAATTTGTCTGATTTGTGCCCATTCAGTGTGGAACAGAATTCTTGGCACCCAATCCACATAGAGACTGTGAGAAGTGAAAGAGGACCCAGAAAGCCTTTTCTTCTGTGGGAAAAGGCCTGATCCTAAGTGGAGCAATTGATGAAAGAAAGCTCAAGCTGCAGCCTATGAATTTCTTTTAGTTTAGTGTACTTAGGATAAGGAGCAGAAATCACAGAGCCTTGTAGGTAGGCGTAGAATAAAAACCACCTCCACGTGCATTCTGCCTGCAAAGAATTTCCTAGGTACTTACTAAACTGTTCCTTCTGCACAACCAACTTTTGCTTTTCTCCCCATATAATGTAAGCTTACATTTATTGAACACTTTACCATATGTGCCAGCTACTGTTCTAAACGCATATTAATTTTAATCTTCATAATAAACTTCTATAGTAGTCTTATTATTTTGCCCATTTTATAAATGAGTCAAGAGGTTTTTAGAGGCCAAGTAACAAAAAATTTATCATGCTGTCATCATTGAAGGGTTTCCCAGATGGCGCTAGTGGTAAATAACCCACCTGCCAATGCAGGAGATGGAAGAGATGTGGTTTACATCCCTGGGTCGGGAAGATCCCCTGGAGGAGGGCATGGCAACCCACTCCAGTACTCTTGCCTGGAGAATCCCATGGACAGAGGAGCCTGGCGGGCTACCTATAGGGTTGGAAAGAGTTGGACACCACTGAAGTGACTCAGCAGGCAAGCAGGTCATTATTTACTATTGTTCAGCTTTTCTTGTGACACATGATTATAAATCCTCAGTTTAGGCAGATTTTGACTGTCCTAAGAATTCTAGAATTCTATTGTAAATTTAGAATATGTTAAATTTGAAATGTCTAATTTACTAAAAAAAGTTTAATTTTTAGTTGAGTATTATAATGCAAATCAAGACAAGACTTAGCTAAAATATCTTTTTACTTTAATTGCCTCGTGAATTTGTTTAAACTGGATATTCTGAGCACGCCTCAAAATAATTTTCTTCTTTTTTATATGAGCTTATCCACTGGTAAAGTACAGAAAAATTATTCTTTCCTTTATTATGCATTTCTATAAATAAATCATAATATTAACCTTCCAACAAATATTTGAATAATAAACCACTTTCACACAGAAATGATGTTAAGTAGGCTTTCTTTCCCTGTTGAAAGTCTCAAAAATAAATTATAGCTAATACTTTAAGAAAAAGTTACAGCTTTGTTTCCTAAGATAGTGAACATGTACCATGAGCCTTAAAACAGACACCCATGTGCATGTACCTTGACTATATAAAGTTCAGTTCAGTTCAGTCACTCAGTCATGTCTGACTCTTTGTGACCCCATGGACTACAGCATGCCAGGTCTCCCTGTCCATCACCAACTCATGGAATTTACTCAAACTCATGTCCATTGAGTCAGTAACGCCATAGATCTTAGTTTTCTGAATGTTGAGCTTTAAGCCAACTTTTTCACTCTCCTCTTTCACTTTCATCAAGAGGCTCTTTAGTTCTTTGCTTCCTGCCATAAGGGTGGTGTCATCGGCATATCTTGATTCCAGCTTGTGCTTCATCCAGCCCAGCGTTTCTCATGATGTACTCTACATATAAGTTAAATAAGCAGGGTAACAATATACAGCCTTGATGAACTCCTTTCCCTATTTGGAACCAGTCTGTTGTTCCATGTCCAGTTATAACTATATAAAAAGTGTCAATATTTCTTAAATGCCTGGATGGTAAGTCTCATCCTGAGTGCCAGCTCTCCAGGCAGGTGGCAGGGAATGTTTGGGACTCGGTTGTGAGAAGGAGTCTCAGGTCTCCTGCAGAGCAATATTAAGTAGGCCAAGTATATGCTAGTCTTAAAGAATAATTTATGTCTTAAACATAATTTACTGAATTATACATTTCACTTAGGGACAGTGGTAAAGAATCCACATTCCAAAGCAGGAGACGCAGGTTCCAACCCTGGGTGGGGATGACCCCTTGGAGAAGGGCACGGCAACCCACTCCAGTATTCTTGCCTGGAAAAATCCCATGGACAGAGAAACCTGGCAGGCTACATACAGTCCATGGGGTTGCAAAGAGTAGGAAGCGACTTAGCGACTAAACAACATCAAACTTTGCGAAGGTCACAGAACTTGTAAATCGCGAAATTGAGTATCAGACACAAAACATCTGGCTTCAGTACCCGGGTTCATTCGTTCTGCTCTGGTCAAGTAAGTAAATAGAGATACATTAAAGACTTGGAAATACAAAGATTTTCCTAGGTACTGTATTATTTTCACCCAAATCTCCAGCCTTGCTCATTGATGGAAGCAGGGTCGGTTACATGGAGTAGACAGGGAGCTTCGGGCAGGAATGAGGCTGACTGACAGAGACAGGGCGAGGGTGGAGTGAGGGCGTGTCTTCTGGAGGGTGTCGTGGCGCAAGGAAAGGCTCCCCCGGGGGTCTCCCCTCCCGGGCGCGACCGCCAGTCTCCGGGAGCCTCTCTGCCCGAAGCAGATCGCCACATCGCCGCGGCCCGCCCCCAGCGCCGTGCGACCCAATCAGCGGCGTAGCCTGCCGCCCCGCCCCCATACCGGGGATATATAGGCCTCGGCCTGGCCACTTTCACCATCGCAGTTGTGGCTCGGGCCTCAGCGTTACGGCACCCTAGAAACTGAGGCCACGGCCCTCTCCGCATTCCGTTCCCACCTCCGTACGTACGCCGCGCCGCCTCTCTGCAGCGTCCGTCCGAGCGCCGCCGCTGGCGTGGGCCCCGCCTGCTTCCCTCCTCGCCTCTCTGTGTGTCCGCGGCTGGCCGGCGCGATGCAGCTGGACCCGAGGCCCGCCACGCTGGGGCTGCTGCTGCTGTGCGCCGCGGCAGCCGGCGCCGGGGAAGCCGAGGAGCTGCACTACCGGCAGGGCGAGCACCGCGCAGACTACGACCGCGAGGCGCTGCTGGGCGGCCAGGTGAGACGGCCAGACTGGAGGCTGGGAGGGCCGGGCCTCGCAGCGCGGCTGCCGCGGGCTTTGTCCCCGCGGGACAAAGGGGGCGGCCGGGCGAGGCCTGGTCGGGGCAGCCTGACAATGGGGGCCGGGCGGGGCGCCGCTCACTCTCCGATGGACCCCGGGGTCTGTAAGCTCGTGAAAATAGTGCGGCCCAAGAGCCGGATCCCGTCTACTCTCCCTGCAAGGGGCAGGATCACTGGGGGGATCGTTGGGGGCAGGGCCCTTGGAGAGCAGATATGGGTCACCCCAAAAGCCCTCGGCAACGGAGGTCTCTAATAGCTCTGTTTTTCTCCACCATTTTGCCCTCCTGATAGTAATGCTTGAACCCCCCTGTATATCGCTTACCTCCCAAAGGAAGAAGTCGATGAGTATGTTAAACTCTCCCCCGAAGAGCAGCACAAAAGACTGAAGTCAATCATAAAGAAAATTGACTTGGACTCAGATGGCTTTCTCACCGAAAGTAAGGACGTCCTACACAACTAACAATGGAGACATCCCTTTGTAGGAGACAAATACAAACATTTAAGCAGGGTGTCTGTTGAGTGTAGATGACTAGTGTTGCAATCAATTAGAGATGCTATGTGAGAGGGGAAAAAGGACATGGTGAGTAGGTTTTATACCTCGAAATCTTTAGACGTAGGATACCAAGTAAAGCTCAATGCTTTCTTCAGTAATACATAAGCATCATTGACCCTTCATGGTGTGTTGAGGTCATACCTAGAGCAATTTCTCGACTCCTCACATGACTTTTTATTAGTGTCAACAATGTGATTCATTTTGGAGAAACATACTAAAACCTTAAGGCATTAAGTTTATTGCTCTTTTGATAAATGCTTCATTAGAATCTTAAGAACTTGCTTCTTTTTATAAACAAGTAGAAAAGAAACTGTTGGGTGTGAATTGTGTTTATGACAGATTATTATAACTTGGTAGGAACCATAGAATCATTATATCCACCTCTTTTTGTAGGGGTGAAGAAACTGAAACCCAGAGGCATAAGTACCTTGCTCAAATGAGTGGCAAAGCCAGAATTAGAATCCATATCTCCTGCCCTTAATTCAGCCTTTAATATCCTTCACTTAAAAAAAATAAAAACTGAGTGCTCTTAGATAGGTTCTAGAATCAGGAATGAAATGCACAGATTATTAAAAGAATATTCTAAATAAATAGCTGTGCACCTGCCTCTCCCCATTGCTTAATTCATTTGAAGAACCCTGTTAACTTTTCCAAATTGATCCTCAACAAAAATTCAGGAGCTGTTTTGCTATAACTCTCATTTAAATGCTGCTCAACATCTGAAGAATGAAGTTGCTTGAGAGAATTACAAGCTGATTGGTAAATTCAAGATGTGTTGTCAATGAAGTGCCCTCAAGTGTGGTCACCAATATTAAGGTTTTGTTCCTTCTACGTGAACAACAGAGCTTCTAGACTAATTATCCAATAAGAATAGGTCCATCTTTGGCTACATTAGAGAGTGCACAAAATGATTTGGAAAACTTGGTGGCATTTATCTCTAAGGGCCTATATATGTTCAAATATTTAATAGTAAGCTTTTAAAAAGTTAAAAGGAACTTAGTCCAAATCTTCGTTTAATAGATGAGAAAACAAAACCTTGAGAGGGTAAACTTACCTCCAACAGTAGAGCTGAAGTGTGAAGCCCTATTTCTGGCCTCTGTTCCATTCTGTATCTTGTTATGCCTGGATGATCATTCTGCTTGAGGACTCTTCGGGAAGTTTTGCTTATTTGCACATTAAGGGCCAGGATTGGACTCAGGTTCTTGAGAGACAGCAAAGTTCAATGGAAGGAGTTTGGGCTTTGAAGCCAAACCTGGGATTTGAATCTGGACTCTGCTACTTATCAGTTATGAGTCCTCAATTTCTAATGTCAATTTCCTGAACTGTAAAGCAATGATTATAATTGCCTTGTTTTGAGGGTTAGAGACAGCATCTGTAGAGGACTTGGTATAAAGTAATTGTTCCATGATTATCACAATTATTCTATCCCAATTTAAAGTTTCAGGAGAGACAAAGTATCTTTACTTTTCTCTATTCACCTGACCTCCCCCAAACTAACAGAGTACCATTCTTTAAACTAAATGATGTATTATCTTTAAACCAAATGGATATTCTTGCTATCCTTACAAATATGTATGTTTTTCTCCCCTCATCCCCTTTTTTCTATGATGCATATACTAAATATCTCTATAGATATTTAAAAATATTTTAAGATAGATTTTTAAAAGTTGATTTGAAAGTGGACATTTGAGATTTAGAAACTTTTCTTCTATGTTTTCAGATACCCAGTTAAGACAAATAGCTATTAGAAGACAGGCATAAATCATAATTGCTACCCATAACTTTGTTAAAATTTCCTCCAGATGATTTATGACATAGTTAATGTTAATATACTATAACAGTGTTTCTCAAACTTCAGTCACTTGAGTGCATTTTTCAGAATTTATATCATACTTACTTATCTATTATTTCCTTAATATAGTCTTGATTCAACTCAATGTAAAATGTATTTTAAACTTTATATTACTTTTGTAAACGAAGAACACTTTTTTCTAATACATATTAAAATAAGTGGGTAGCTATTCAAATATTTGTGCTTCCTGAGAGATCTGTGATAATTAGCAAAGTAAAAGTTGCTCAGTCGTGTCCAACTCTTTGTGACCCCGTACACTGTACAGTCCATGGAACTCTCCAGGCCAGAATACTGGAGTGGGTAGCCTTTTCCCTCTCCAGGGGATCTTCCCAACCCAGGGATCAAACCCAGGTCTCCTGCATTGCAGGTGGATTCTTAACCAGCTGATCCACAAGGGAAGCCCAAGAATACTGGAGTGGGTCGCCTATCCCTTCTCTAGTAGATCTTCCCAACCCAGGAATCAAACCAGGGTCTCCCGAATTGCAGACAGATTCTTTACCAACTGAGCTATCAGGAAAGCCCAATTAGCAAAAGTTATCTGTAATTTTTTGGATAATATGTTTTAAAAGTCAAGTGCTTTCTCAGCCAATTGGTAGTTTATTTAATCAATACTTGTTGAGCCCGGTGCTTTCTAGTCATTTGGAGTACCTCAGTGAACAAAATATACCAAACTCTCCATACTCAAAGGGCTTACATTCTGGGTAGATAACACATAACATTCTTAGATTCCAAATAGCTCTCCTCGCCGCCGCCTCTTATTTCTATGAACACAGCTAAACCAGTTCTCACTCAAATATTTATAAACACTAAAGTTTTTTTTTTTCTTTTAAAGAATGTTTAGAAATCCTCACTTCTCTTAAGTATCAGAATTACTGTCACATTCATTGTGTTCTGGGAAATTCTCATAGGTGAACTCAGTTCATGGATTCAAATGTCTTTTAAACATTATGCTATGCAAGAAGCGAAACAACAGTTTATTGAGTATGATAAAAACAATGATGGTAGTGTGTCATGGGATGAATACAACATTCAGATGTATGATCGGGTGATCGACTTTGATGAGAACACTGCTCTGGATGATGCAGAAGAGGAGTCTTTTAGGCAGGTAAGTAGCCTCCTCTGCCCATGGAATTCTCCAGGCAGGAATACTGGAGTGGGTTGCCATTCCCTTCTCCAGGGGAATCTTTTCCACCCAGGGATTGAACCCAGGTCCCCTGCATTGCAATCAGATTCTCTACCATCTGAGCCACCAGGGAAGCCTCAAATAACTCCCCGTTTCCACTTCCCCCAGCCCCTGGCAATCACTGCTTTACTTTGTGTATCTGAATTCAACTACAGTAATTCCCCAACATATGAATGAGTTCCGTTCCAAAAGTGCATTCATAAGTCCAACAAAGTTGGCCTGTACTCAACAAACACAAACAGCTATACAGTATTATAATAGGTTTATAATACTTTTTGCACAAATAATACACACTAAATAAATAAGTAAATAAAACAGCTTTAATCTTACAGTATAGTGCCTTGAAAAGTACAGTAGTACCAGTACTTCTGCTCTTATGCTTGCCTCTGGACATCTTGGCCTTGAAATAAGGAGACTGTACTACTGTATTCTATACAGTGCCTGCATGCATGCTGAGTTGCTTCAGTCATATCTGACTTTGCAATGCCAGGCTCCCCTGTCCATGGCAAGAATACTGGAATGGGTTGCCATTTCCTTCTCTCCTTTCCATATTCCATATTCTGACACAGGGATCGAACCTGTGTCTCTTACATCTTCTGCATTGGCAGACTGGTTCTGTACCACTAATGCCACCTTCAAAGCTTGTACTCCGTACAGTACTGTACAGTAAGGTACACAAAAGCATAAGCACTTGGAGAGGATGCATGCATGTGACAATGGACGCCAGACATGTGAATTAACTTAAGTGATTGGACATGAAGACGCACGTTCACATCTTTGAAAGTTTGCAACTCGAAGGTTCATATGAATGAGACTTACTGTATTCTAGGTACCTCATATAAGTGGAATCATACAGTATATTTTTTGTGATTAGCTAATTTCATTTAGCAGTCTCCTGATTTGTCCAGGTCATAGTATGTGTCAAAATTTCCTTTTAAAGACAATAATATTCCATTATATGTATATATCACATTTTGCTATCCATCAGTCAATGGTGAGTTGAGTTGCTTCATCTTTTTGGCTATTGTGAGTAATGTTGCTATGAATGTGGATGTACAAATATCTCTTTGAGATCCTGCCTTTAATTCTTTTGGGTGTACATCCAGAAGTGGAATTGCTAGTTCATATATAGTAATTCTATTTTTAAATTTCTGAGGAACTGCAACACTGTCTTCCATAGTGGCTGCACCGTTTAAAATAACTTATTTTTAAAGTTTCAGTATCACTGTGAATTGTGTTGTGTCTCATGGTTTGATTTGTTGAAATATACTTCTTAAGCAGAGTTGAGGAGGACATATTTAGGAATTAATAGGAACTTTTAAAAACTTTACTTAGTAATTAGTAGGAACTCTGTAAGACAAATTAAGCCTTAGAGGTTGATATTATGAATACTTTGTATTTTAGAGGTAATTTTAAAGACTTTTTTAAAAAAGAGGTTTTTGTATGTGGAAAAAATAAACAACTTTTTGCAAAGGTTGTGTCCCAAAATATTAGTCAAGGGTGCTTTGAAGACTTTTGAGCTTTCTCTGTTGGTATCTACAGTTTAGTTTTTAATGTGGCCATATTGTAGCACTGTATATGCTATTTATTTTAGAACCATATTGGCCACTTGAACTCTGTAGGTCATCACTAACTCAAAATTGGTTGTTTCTCTGCTAAGGATTGTCGACTAAAAAAGTGCACAACTTCAGGGATGTGTGTTAAGTTTTATTGAGGCAATATGAGGACTGCAGCCTCTGAGACAGCACCTCAGATAGCTCTGAGAAACTGCTCCAAAGATGTAGGGGGAAAGGAAAGGACAGTATATATGTGATTTTGGTAAAGGGCGAGTACGTACAGTCAAGCACATTTATTTTTTAGAAAGTTTCTGCTGGTCTTATGAAGCTTCTGCTAGTCATGAGAAACAGTTGTCAACCATGAAGGATTTTAGTGCTTTTCTAGAGATGAGGAGATACAAGAATTGGGCTCATGAATTTATCTCCTGAGAATACCTAACTATCTGAAGACCAGTCCTGCCAGTTTTCCCAGAACTCAGAGTGCCTGGTTTCTGCTGTCCGTCCTGAGCTCCTTCAGAGGGTGTTGGAGGCCAGCAGCTGCAGCAGCACATGATTTAATTCTTGTAGAGGTAGATGGCAAGCACCCGTGAAAGTGAAAGTTAAGTCGCTCAGTCGTGTCCAACTCTTTGCGACCCCATGGACTGTAACCCACCAGGCTCCTCCATCCATGGGATTCTCCAGGCAAGAATACTGGAGTGGGTTGCCATTTCCTTCTCCAGGGGATCTTCTCGACCCAGGCATCGATCCCAGGTCTCCTGCATTGCAGGCAGATGCTTTAACCTCTGAGCCAGTCCTCTTACATGGCATGTGCCAATTTGTAGTTGACATGATTATGCATATGCTGTGCCTATACCACCAGTGTGGAGGTTAAGGACTCCAGCTTTGGGGCCAGTCAACTTGGCTTTACATTCAGCAAGGGCTTCCTCAATGGTTCATCAGCTAAAGAATCCACTTGCTATTCAGGAGCTGGAGGAGATGCGAGTTCAATCCCTGGGTTGGGAAGATCCCCTGGAGGAGAAAATGGAAACCCAGTCCAGTATTCTTGCCAGGAAAATCCTATGGACTGGCAGGCTACAGTCCAAAGGGTCGCAAAGCATCAAACAGGACTGAGCACGCACACAATACCACTTGACAGTGATGTGCCTTTAGGTTAAATCAAACCTCCTGTGCCTCAGCTTCCTCATATCTAAAAATGGAAATGATAATAGTATGGAGAAATAGAGTAGCATTGAACTGGTAAATCCTTCTATGTTAATTTGAAAGAAAACTGTTGAAGAAAACATGTGAGTCACATGTTTATCTCTAATACTTAACAATCAGCTTTTAGAAGTTGTTTAAGCATTTGTTAACTGTATCAGCTTTAGAATAGATAAGATTTAATATATAGGGGGAAAATATCCTCCTTTTCTCCTTATTTGGGTCTTCATCTAACAGCAGACTGAAAAGTCTTTTCACTACTTAGTGCTAAAAAGAAAACAAAGGATGATAATGAGATCTAGAATTTGTATGTCTGCTAGTTATTTTCCTTTACTGTAGGAATTAACTCATCTTAAAAGCATCGTTCACATTCCAAGATTTTTTCTAAAACCAAACCATGGTATGACATTATGACTTCTTTGCCAGGCAATAATACAAATGTTAAATACAGTATTTTAAAATCTTAGCAGAAGTAGATTCTGTGTTTTTTCACTCAAAAGATTAATTATTATCTCATCAGAAAGTAGGAAAATTGTGTAGACATTTCCTTCTCCAGGGGATCTTCTCGACCCAGGCATCGAACCCAGGTCTCCTGCATTGCAGGCAGATGCTTTAACCTCTGAGCCAGTCCTCTTCCATGGCATGTGCCAATTTGTAGTTGACATGATTATGCACATGCTGTGCCTACACCACCAGTGTGGAGGTTAAGGACTCCAGCTTTGGGGCCAGTCAACTTGGCTTTACATTCAGCAAGGGCTTCCTCAATGGCTCATCAGCTAAAGAATCCACTTGCTATTCAGGAGCTGGAGGAGATGCGAGTTCAATCCCTGGGTTGGGAAGATCCCCTGGAGGAGAAAATGGAAACCCAGTCCAGTATTCTTGCCAGGAAAATCCTATGGACTGGCAGGCTACAGTCCAAAGGGTCACAAAGCATCAAACAGGACTGAGCACGCACACAATACCACTTGACAGTGATGTGCCTTTAGGTTAAATCAAACCTCCTGTGCCTCAGCTTCCTCATATCTAAAAATGGAAATGATAATAGTATGGAGAAATAGAGTAGCATTGAACTGGTAAATCCTTCTATGTTAATTTGAAAGAAAACTGTTGAAGAAAACATGTGAGTCACATGTTTATCTCTAATACCTAACAATCAGCTTTTAGAAGTTGTTTAAGCATTTGTTAACTGTATCAGCTTTAGAATAGATAAGATTTAATATATAGGGGGAAAATATCCTCCTTTTCTCCTTATTTGGGTCTTCATCTAACAGCAGACTGAAAAGTCTTTTCACTACTTAGTGCTAAAAAGAAAACAAAGGATGATAATGAGATCTAGAATTTGTCTGTCTGCTAGTTATTTTCCTTTACTGTAGGAATTAACTCATCTTAAAAGCATCGTTCACATTCCAAGATTTTTTCTAAAACCAAACCATGGTATGACATTATGACTTCTTTGCCAGGCAATAATACAAATGTTAAATACAGTATTTTAAAATCTTAGCAGAAGTAGATTCTGTGTTTTTTCACTCAAAAGATTAATTATTATCTCATCAGAAAGTAGGAAAATTGTGTAGGTTTTTAAAATCTACATTCTTTGGAGGGTGGAGGGTGGAATGTAATAATAGATGATGGTATTGAGAAGAAAATCTTCACTTTAAAGAAATACATGACTTGTTACATAAACTGTTTATGAGCAGTCTTTTATTTTTAAATAAAGATGTCTGATTTTAATGCTGTGTTTCCCACCCAGATACTCAGGACATGTTGATTATAAGACTGTACTTTTAAAGAATGAATTAGATGGACCTTGTAGCCTAAAGGAATTAATGGGTCCCTGAAATGAACACTTCTCAATGGGAGTCCTGTTGATCCTATTGCATATTCTTCCACAACATAGGAATATGTCTCTACATGAAATTCTATTTATAATACTCTGTTAGAATTATATATATATATATATTTACATATATAACCCACTAAAAGTGGATGTGGGATGTAAAAATGAACCCAGACACAACTGCATGATTCTGCAAAATAAAAAATAAAAGGATGAAGAATGCATCGATCTTGATCAAAGTTAAGAGCCTAAACATTGTACCATAAAATAATCATAAAAAGTAATTGGATATCCAAATAAAATGTTTCTGTATGGAAGCCTATTAAAAAACAAAATCAATTTGATAGCTGAATTATATGTTACTTTTAATGTTTTCATATAAAGAATAGAGATAACCTGGAATAATGACTTGCAGGCTGTGAGATGCCGGAAAAAAGTATTTCTTTATGACCTGATGAACAAGTATAGTCAGCACTTTTAAGCAGGATAATTAAAGTTATTATAATTAAAGGACCTACCTGGCAAAAGCTCAATTCCTATAACTTTTAAAGCCACATGAATGTGCATGTGTAAGCAGGATTTATTTGTGTAAGATATAATCATGCATGTGGCTAATCAGAATTTTAAGACCTAGACTTTTGCTCTATTATCACAGGTTATATATTTCCTCATGTAAAATCTTTAGTCTACCAAAAGATGGCAGTTTTGTTCTTCACAAGTTTCTGTTACAATGTAAAAATAAATGACTATGGTAGTTTCTATCTTTTTACTACTGTGCATAGTATTTTCTGTGTACTAGAACACAAGGGTTTTATACAGAAAAAAAGTGTTGAGGTTTTATGAAACTGACAGTCCTTTGTGGTCATCTTTTAGAAATTTGCCCCTTTGGAAAAAATCTTTTGGTGTATTAGCTTCTTTAATATGAGTCTCTAATAAATTGTGTTCTTTAAATGACCATGAATAAAACTTTAAAAAATCACATTATTTTTTAAAAACCTGAGAAATGTAAATGAGAAAAGTACTTCTTTTTTTTTTTTTTTTTAAAGAAATCTCAGCTGTTGAAAGAGATCCTTTCTTTCCATAGGCAAATTTGGCCAAATTCAGCTCCCTCTGCTGAAACATGAACCTTTTTGCTCCAGATTGAAGGGTTCTTTCATAAGGAAATCTAAGCACTTTAGTATTTTGAATAGTGATTTATTCAAAAAACTTGATTGACTCAGCTAAGTACCTCCAGTTCTTGTTTTTCTACGTTTCCCCCATGCTAAACCTGAACATAACATGTACATTATTTAGTCTAGTTATTTAAAATTAAGAAACATTAAGTTAAAAGCACCTATTTGGAAACATTTTTTTTCCTCTGTCATGATTTGGTGAATATAACTGGCTAGTGGAATCTGGGTGTTTAAAAGACAAATTCCTTGGGGAAAGAAGTGAGCCTCTCCACTGTAAATCAGTCATCGTAAAAGAACTAGTGTTTCAGTAAATGACTGCTACCTAACCTCTAGCATTCTAAAAAATTGAAAAGAGCATTTCTTTTCAACAGTGAAACACATAAATTAAAAGCTTCTAAAATATTTGAAATTGTGCTTTTTAAAAAAATGTGTGGTTTAATACACATCAGTTTATTAAAAGGAAAATTATTCCTAGGAATTTCTCAAAATAAAATGTATGCAGGATTAGCAATATGCCACTATTGGCTTCCAATGCTCTTAATTACAGAATTACCTTTGAGAAAATTGATTAAAAGCAGCTTTTTCTCTAATAGTCGCTACTACTTGGTTTCCCACCAAAGTGCACTTGAGGGGAAAGGAAAGGAAGATGGGCATGACAAGTAGAAAATGGTGTGATTGTTTAACTCAACTCCAAGATAGGGGCTTTTCAGCTTTTGATGTATTTATCTGGACTTAGAAAATAAGCACTATAAAGAGCCTACAGAGAGTAGACTTCCAAATATTTACCAGAAATATTCTCATAAGAGGACTATTTTTTGAAACCTGTTACAGTGTTTTTGAAAAGTCATATTGAAGACCAGAAACAGAAATAGGCACACCAAGAAACTAATAGATAATCTAAATTCATTGCTTTGGGGGCATTCAAAAAATTTCTGCGATTGTTAAAGAAGATAGTGTGTAGTATTGTAGAAAGAACAGGAAGGATCCAAGTTCAATATATTTTAGCTGTTTTCCTGACATCCCTGTCAATAAATCATTTTAATCTCAGTTTTTCTATGAATAATAGTAATATGTAACATTTATTGAATACCTAATATGTTTTCTAATTGCTTGATAGAAGTTCTCATCCCAGTTGCTTAATAGAGATTTTTTCTTATTTATTATGAATTGTTCAGTTTATTTAAACTAAAAAAAAAAACAGTTCACTGATTTCTCTCACTTCCTTACCAGCCACTTCTGGCAGCCACCAGTCTATTCTCTCCATCTGTGAACTTGGTTTTAGAGGAATGTTTTTGTTTGTTTGTTTTTAGATTCTACATATGAGAGGTCATACAGTATTTGTCTTTCTCTGACTTATTTCACATAGCATAATGCCCTTGAGGTATATCCATGTTGTTTCAAGTGGCAAGATTATATTCTTTATGGCTGAGTAATGCTCTACTATATATATATAGTGGAATATAATTTCTTATCCATTTATCCATCAGTGGATATGGGTTGTTTCCATGTGTTGGCTATTGTAAGTAATGCTGTAGTGAACATAGAGGCTTGTACATCTTTTTGAGTTGGTATTTTCATTTTCTTTAGATAAATACCCAGAAGTGGAATTGCTGGATTGTCTTGTTGTATAGCATCCAGGTGTCAGGTGTACCTCACTGTGGTTTTGATTTGCATTTCCCTGATGATTTATGATGCTGAGCATCTTTTCATGTGCCTGTTGGCCATCTGTATGTATTCGGAAAACGTCTATTCAGACCTGCCCATTTTTTTTTAGTTGGACTGTTTATTTTTCTTTTGAGTTGTACGAGTTCTCTATATATTTTGGATATTAGCCCCTTATCAGATAGATGATTTGCAAATACTTTCCTCCATTGAGTGGCTTTCATTTTGTTGATGATTTCTTTGGCTGTGTAGAAGCCTTTTAGTTTGATGTAGTCCCACTTGTTTATTTTTGCTTCTGTTGTTTTTGGTGTCAAATTATCCCATTTGTATAGTTGAGGAGCCCAAAGAAGTTAAGCAGTTTGCCCTAAGTAACAAGTTAGTAAGTGGCGTTGCTGGAATCCAGATCTGAGTCTCCCTATGCTGCTGCACTGCTTCTAGTAAATGCTTATTTGCCCAACTTACCATCAAAGGGATGATGTGAAGATAAAATGTGATAATGGATGTAAATGTACTGTAGAGTTCACATAGCTTGTATTTTTCAAAGTATTTTTTAATGACATTATGGGATGAATGAGAAAACCTTTAAATGTTCAATATTTAATTTTCAAAGCTTCATTTAAAGGACAAGAAGCGATTTGAAAAAGCTAACCAGGATTCAGGCCCTGGTTTGAACCTTGAAGAGTTTATTGCTTTTGAGCATCCTGAAGAAGTTGATTATATGACGGTAAGGAAGAAAAAATTTCAAGATAACTATTGAATAGCCAAAACTTTAAAATTTACTTTTACACAGTAATGAAAATGAATTATATAGAAAACAGAATTTTAGGAGATGATCTAAACTTTTCCTTGCTTCAGAAAAGGAGTGGGAAGAAGGAGGCTTTCTGGTGGAGTGGGGATGTGTACAGGGTGGGAGAAGGTAAGGAATGAGGTTTTCTTTAATCTCTGAAATATGTATGTGTATCCGTCTTTCCCTGGCTAGTTTCTCTTCCATAACTGGGTTATCTTCAGTGCCTTCCTTGTCCTTTTGTAGCTTTAAGACTTTTCTCAGGTGTTTCAATATTAGTAACACTAGAACTTCCTGTTTAGTTTACAAGGTTACTTGTGAAAACTTTTGGTTTGGGAACACTATCACATTTAGATCCCTTTTCATAGGGTATGGGGGTGGGATGAGGTGGGGGGATGCAACTGCTAATGACTAGTAATGTTTTTGCAGCTTTAGGCATAATGAGTCCTCTCATCCCTTTAGTACTTAAAAGAAGTATCAGCTCTTCAAAATTTTGTTGAGTTCTAGGTATAAGTCAACACTGATTAAGTCCCTGCTATGACTTGGTAAACTTCTTGAGAGCAGAAACTATCATATTAGAGAGTAAACATTAACATAAGAAATGGCTTTTAAAAAATAGGCTAAACATTTACATTGAGGTCTGCTGCCTGGCATCAGCCCCCAGCTGTGTGGCTTGGTTCCCTGGACATTTCAGGGAGGGAAGATGTAGCTTTTTGCTTAATGGGTCCTGGTTGGATGCTGCTGCCTTGATAGCAGGACTGCAGATAACCTTTTTCTCTCTAGCTCAGTGGCAAGACACCACCATCAGTACCATTTCTCTTGCCATTGTGAGGCTTTGGATTTCTTACTTTCCACAAAGTACATGACCTAGTTTGAGAACAGTGCTGGGCACAGTTTATTTAAGTGCCAGAATTAAGTGGAAATCAGATAATTGAGCCCTAGCATGGTAGGCAGAGGATGTTGCATCTTGATTATCTGGGGAATAAGGAACAGTTGAAGACTGAGGAGGGAACTGACCAGTGATAGCAATGAAATAATTTAGGCATTATGTGTATGGCCCTGGAATATGAAGTGGCAATGGAATGAATTGATGAATGACCAACATTTTGAAGAAAGCATAGACAGGAATGTTGACTGATGTAGCATGGGAGGGGAAGAGGGCAAGAATCAGAAATGACTCTGAGGTTGGAAGCTTGAGTAACAGATACAAAAGCAGTACCATTGCAGAATGGGATATGTCAGGATGGGAAAGGATGGTCTTTGTGTTGAGTTGGAGTTGATAGCAGCACACAAGATGCATGATCCTAAGATGGTGTCTCATTCAGATCAACTTCATTAATTTCTGTTTACCTTAATTGTCTTTGTGGATCCCTTTTCCCTTTTTTCCCCTTTAAGGGTATATAGGATAGGAAAGGGCAGGATATAAGATCAACTAAATGATTCTACTTTGAATTAAAAGTTGGAATTTTAAAACATTTTCATTCACATAATTTTAAAAATTATTTTAACCAAGGCAGCATTCTTGAAATAAGTCTGTTGTTTCCCAAGAGGATTACTTGAATGAAGCAATAATCATTTTGATCTTTGATTCTTTAATTGGATCACAGACTCCTTTAGAAAAAATATGATGCAAGCTGTGTACCCTGCCCCTGAAAAGTTCTGAATATGTCCGTGTTCATACACATAATATACTGTGAATCAAGAGATTCTCAGATCCTCTCTCCAAAACTAATCTTTGGGTCTCCAGGTTAACATCCCCTGGTTTCTGTATCGAAGATCTGTTATATATGATTTAAAAAAAAAAACCAACAACTTCTACATAAGTGTTGTTTCATACAGATGTAGATAAAGCCACTGGATTTGACTACAATAAGAGACTTTTGAGAATATATTTCACTGTAGTTGTGGTGCTAGAATCCAGGCTGAAAACATATTCAGGCTGAAAATGAATTCAGGCTGAAAACGTATTAGCAGGTAATGAGGAAATGAGAACAGTAGATGTAACCTCTGAGAGGAAAAGAAAGACCAGGATGGTGGTTAAAGAGTGCAGCAAAGTCATGGGAACCTGAATGTTTTTAAAGGCATAGAAGAAGGAGCTAGTGGAAAGGGTTGGAGAGGCTGGAGTTAAGAGTAAAAGAAAGCACTCCAGAAGTGGGGAAGTATGGGATCTAGGAAGACAGTTGAGGGCTTCATCCTAGAGAAGAGGGGCAGAGTTTTAACTGCTGAGATCAAAGAGAAGGATGAGAGGAACAGGCATCGAAATAGAGGTGGTTAAAGATGAGAATGAATGCTGGGAAACAAGGAAGGATTTCAGAAGACCTCTACCATGCTCAGAAAAACAGGAAGTCTTTGCCAAGAGCATGTTGGAGAGAGTTGCGGTTAAGAGGAAATAGAGATGTCAAAAAACAGCCATAGAGTGTTAGGGAAGCTGAGGCAGAGATAGACTTCCAAACTGCAGTGAGAGCCCACGGAAGTGGCAAAAAATAAATTTATAAGGATTAGGTTTCTATTTTTGTATCTTCCTCAGATTCTGGAAGGAGAAAGTGATGTGGGTCTGATGTAGCGTGAGGACTGGCATGATAAGAAAAGGGTCCAAGGGGTGCAGAAATGTAGTAAGGGAAGCACTGAAGCAGGTCATCTTGGGAAAACATAACTAGAAAGGGTGTGATCTTTGGGTCAGAAGAGATTAGTTGGTAAGGAGCCTTAGAAAGAGTCAGGAACCGATTTGGGGGCAGTCTAGGGTGGATGAGGGTAGATGGGTGGAAGAGGAAGCAAGAGAGTTGAAGTTGTATAGGGTACTGACCCATTTCAGGCAACAGTTCTGTGCAGAGACATCTGAGATGAGGGTTCTTTTGGCTTGTTAATGGATTGGCAGGAAAGTGAAATCAAAGAAAACAAAGGTAGTATAAGATAGATCATTCTTCAGAAGGCAGTAATGTGCAGAAAATAGAAGTGTGAGTTTATTGCCAAGGTTATGCAGGAGGGTGAGGTAGAGTGCTCAATAACAGAAGCTTAAGGATGTTAAATTCTAAGCTATTTGGGGTTTTATTCCTGCTTCTAAATTTCAGTGTTTAGAAAGATTGTGTGGCAAGTATAGACAAAATAATTATTCCTAAAGAATAATTATGTTAATTATTTGTATAGTAGGATTAATTATAGTAGAAATAATTCAATAATTAATTCTATAGTAGGATTGATTCAGATGGTGATGGGATTGAAACTTTTGTGACAGATTTTTTTTTTTTTTTGGTGAACCTACATGCAATAGGAATTTGTCATTCAAGAGGCTTTAGAAGAACATGACAAAAATGGTGATGGATTTGTTAGTTTGGAAGAATTTCTTGGTGACTACAGGCGGGACCCGAGTAAGTAGACTGGGTATGTGTGGAAGGAAGGGGGAAAAAGGAAGAAATTGAAAGATAGTCTTGCTCATTGAGAGCTCTGTTTGACAGAGGAAAATGGAAGAATAACTGGGCCTGATACCTCTTTGTTCTGCCAAGTTCAATAAAATACTAGCGAAACAAAGGGACTTAAAGCCTATCTGAGAATGCTGTTTTGCTCACTTTTAGTTCGACATGTAGAGCCAAGCATTTTTCTTCGTTTTCAAACAAATACAATGTAATTATCAATTCAGATAGCTGAGGAAGTAAAGGTTGATATTTTTAAATAGACCTCCTGTACCTTTGCATGTAGATCTTAGAAGAAAAAAATATATAAAATCCTATAAATACTAGAATAAGACTGTGGAAAGTGACTTACCGAGTGTTTGAAATTTAAGGAGTTTTTATATGCAACTTTTTGTATAAACCGCTGTCTTTTAAGAATTTTTGCTTAGCGTCACTTACTGTGAATGTCACTTTAAAATTACCTATGGTATTACTTTGTAAGAACACACATTGTAAGAACACACGGGAAGATTTAGTTACATGATGTTCATAAAACCATTACCCAGTTCAAACTTGGGCAAACAATATCAGAACAAATAGCAGCAGTTAGCAAAATTACTAGTTTGTGATAATATGCAACACTTAAAATTTTTTTTTTCTCCCTAAGATCTTTACATAGACTTTCATGTTTGTTTGTTTGTTTTTTCACTCTTTCAGTTGAGTTTTATCCCAGAACAGTTTTATAACAAAGCTGATTTTTTTTTCTTTTTGGCCACACCACACAGCATGTGGGATCCTAGGTCCCCCACCAGGGCGTTGAATCCACGGTGCCTGCAGTGGAAGCACAGAGGCCCAATGCCTGGTCTGCCAGGGAGGTCCTTATGCAACACTTTTACATATGTCCCCTCCCTTTTGAACCTCCATCTCATCTCCCTCCATATCCCACCCCTCTGTGCAGCAATTTTAAAACTCTTGAGTATCACTTTTGAACATTACTACAGAGTTTGCACTTATTTCAGCCCTTTTCAGTTAAGCGCTTTGTTTCTTTGGGCCTCCTTTATGTGGTAAGCTTTAAATTCATTTCCTCTATCTGGGGCTATATCAGACTTCTTTTTGGATACATGTGATATTCTTGTGTATGCATGTTTATGTTCTTTTTTAATACTAATATACTAATAGCCGCAAATGAAGATCCAGAGTGGATACTTGTTGAGAAAGATAGATTCATGAATGATTATGACAAAGATGCTGATGGCAGACTTGATCCGCAAGAACTGTTGTCCTGGGTTGTACCCAATAACCAGGGCATTGCACAAGAAGAGGTAAGTATTACAGAGTGATTCTCTCATCCCCAAATTTGTGCTATTGTAGTAAAGGAAATTCAGAACCTTAAGCCAAAGAAGGAAATAGTGGAGTTATTTAGGATCAATGCATTGCTATTTCTTGATTTAAATCTAAGATCTATTTTAGACTGTCAAAGAGACAAGGAAGTTAAAATGGTATTATGTATGAATTGAATAGTACAATAGGATAATGAAAGTTTGTATTTACCTCTGGGGCTCAAAATGAGTTATACTAATTTTCCTTGACTTTGAGATATCCTGAATTGGATTTGAGCTGGGAGGAGACAGAACCCAGCAGAAATTAAGAAAGGAGGTAGTGAGAAATGGCTGTAGACAGACCCAGGCATGAGAGTTAGTACTTTTAGATACTTAGACAATAACGAGTACTTGGTATACCTGAATGATTTTGACAAATCAGATCCCATTAAAATGTGAACATCTTGCTGAAAAATACTTATTACACCTGATACCTTTTTGTTTTATTTTAAAGGCTCTTCATCTAATTGATGAAATGGATTTGAATAGTGACCGAAAGCTTTCTGAAGAAGAGATTCTGGAGAACCAGGACTTGTTTCTTACAAGTGAAGCCACAGATTATGGCAGACAGCTTCATGATGAATATTTTTATCATGATGAACTTTGATCCCTGGGTGTATCTGAGTAGAGCACTGGCTCCTTTTATAGTTTGTTACCAGCTTTACTTTTGTGATAAAATATTGATGTTATATTTTACACTCCTAAGTCTTACCAGAGTCAAAATTATCTTAATGTACATTATAGTTTTGGCCTTTCAGGAGAAAAGTAAAACAAAAACCTGATATTTATTTCCACATGTGTTGAAGAAATGAAACAATGTTGTGCCATATGACAAAAAAGTCTTTCCTAAACAGTCCATCTGTTTAGTACTGTATTGTGAAATATTTGAGTTCTGTTTCCATACTTGAAAAAAAAACAAAAAACGGAGGATTTTAGAGATGCCTGAACAATATTATTTAAGTAGTATGTGACTAAGCTATCAATTTTTATTTTAAGTAGGTTTAACTTGGGAACTGACAGAAGGACGTTGTTTTTAGATTTAGCATTTTGTTTTAAACCTTTAAAGGAACCTTAGAAGGACTTATACCTCACATATTAATGGTGAGAAGTTCTGCTTAATTTTAAAATGGTTTCTATAAAGGGTTTTATTGTATGAAATAGAACTTTATATTTTTGCATATGTATAGATAGTAATTATATTTAATGTGTAACTATAGCATTACGGTGTGTGGAATTTGACTTTGTCCAGAACTCTTTTCTTTTTTTTTGACTGATTAAAAATGAAATGTCCTATCTTTTTATATGTTTGTTTGATTTTCTTTGATCTTTCAGGTAAACCTTGAATTCAGCAAGTTTTGTTGTATTATACATTACCTCACCTCTTTCGTTCCTGTATTTGAGAAGTAAATGTTCTCAAAACTTTGTTAAGTTATATTCTTGCTGCATATTCTTATTTTGGTTTTTTTGGATAAAAGAATCATATTGTAATTCAGTGTACCCCTGATATGTTTCAGTTGCTAATATAGCAAATGTGGTCTTGCTCTTTCAGGCTGGAAACAATCGTAAGGATTGTACCCATTGAAATTACCAGTAGAGCCTGAGATCAGTCATACTGAAATTAAAATCACACTTGATAAGCATTTGTCCATACCTATGTGGTCAGTTTTAACCTTATTCAGGAAGTTAGCTTGTTACCTTTGTGGGGAGTAAGAAAAGTAAGAAGGTGAGAAATTTATTTTTTCCCTAGCTTTAACTCACAGATAGTTTCTCTTTCTGTTTTCTTAAATTACCTGTATTTGTGGGTGAAGGGGTCAGCTATGCATTCTGTTAATCGTTTTCCAGTCTGAAGTTGTCTCTTTGATAGCATGCACAGCATTGGGAGGCTCAGTTAGTCTTTATGAGTATGAGAGAAAACCTGAAACTCTTTTCTGATAGAATGAACTGTGTCTGCTTACCTCTCTATTGCTCCCGTTTTTGCTGATGTGAGTTGTGAATGCAGGTTATAAACTCTCACACTTTAATGATAGCTTGCTTACCGCGGTGGCTAAAGTACATGGTTTTCATTTTAACTTACGATACTTGTCTGGTTCTTTAAGAATTAAAAGATACACAATTATCACTCATCTGCCATTTGTCAACCTTACTGAAATCGGGGTATTTGAGATAACTAGTTTGATTAGCATGCTAATCATTTGTTTTTCTTACTACATTCTCCAAAATCTATACCAGAATTGTTAGAGGATCAGATACAGCTTTTATTTTAATCTGATGAGTTAAGAGTTAGCATTCTACATTCAGCCTTGATTTCACGTGGCTATAAGAATTTTGGTGACATTATTAGTGGTCATCCATATCTGTACTTCTTTAATCCCTGGCATAAAGAAATTATACTTTCCAACCCCCATGTGGGTGAACAAGGGCTGGTTCTAACCAGTTAAATCTGAGTGGAAGTAGTATACATCACTCCCAAAGCAGACCAGTGACAAACCTCTGCCGTGCCTTTGCCCTGGTGTTGTAGAGGACGCCTCACTTGAAATGGTGAAGCCACAAGATCAAAGTAGTCTTTTTTAAAGTTTTCTTGTTTTTTGGCTGTGCTGGGTCTTCCTTGCTGTGCACAGGCTTTCTCTGGTTGCAGCAAGCCAGGCGCTACTCATCCTTGCCGTGTGTGGGCTTCCCTTGCAGTGGCTTCTCTTGTTGGAGAGCAGGCCCAGGAGTTATGTGGCACAGCTTAGCTGTATGTGAAATCTTCCCGGACCAGGGATTGAACCCATGTCCCCTGCATCGGCAGGTGGATTCTTTATGGAAAGTCCCGAAGTAGTCTTGATTACTGAGTGACCCCAGGAAGGTCAGGTGGACCCTCAGTGGACTTCACATGATCAAAAAATAAGACTTTTATTATATTAAGCTGCTAAGATTTTGGTAAGAACACAGCCTGTCCTTACCAAGTGAAGATTTAGTATCAAATAATTGGCTTTTATAAGCATACAGAGAAAAAGAATCTGCTTCGAACAGAGTTTCTCTAATGCAGAATAGAAAAGTTTATTTCTTTTGCTAATTCAAAATAGAAAAGTTTATTTTTAATGCTTTCATTTGGATTTAAATTTTAAACAGCCTCTTTAAAGCTTTTATTTTGATTTTAATAGAATTAGGATAATTTGAATTTATTCTTAAAGAATGAGACTTTTTGAATTATTAGCTGATTCTGGCTGAAGAACTTAATAACTTCCTTTGTTTGACTCCAGGTACTACTTCAAAATGGAAAAGCTGACAGTATATACACAAATCAGTTCATACATGTTTCTGATTGGGCAAATATACAGGACAGAAAATGACTTTATAGTTTGTGATGTGAACTTAAATGAAGCTAGGACATTCATGTTAGCCTTACTTAGTTCTTTCCTTTGCAGTTTTGTTTTTTAAAAATCAACTTGATTTTAAAGTCTTAGATTTCACAGCAAAATTGAGCAAAAGGTAGTGATCCCCATAAACTCTGTTCTTCACACGTACACAGCCACCTCTACTATCAAAATCCCTTACCAGAGTGGTGTATCTGTTACAACTGATGAACCTACATTGACACATTATTATCACCCAAAAACCACAGTTTAGGATTTGCTCTTGACATCGTACATTCTGTGGGTTTGGACAAATGTATAATGACCTATCTACCTTTCTACAGAGTAGTTTCACTGCCCTAAAATCCTCTCTGCTCTGCCTTTATTCATTCGTCCTCCACCCCAACCCCTGGCAAACACTAAACTTACTGTCTCTTTAGTTTTGCCTTTTCCAGAACATCACATAGTTGGAATTATTACAATATATGTCCTTTTTAGGTTCCTTTGCAGTTTTAAATTTATGCATTAAATTATGCATTTATCTCTCAGGTTTTTGTGTTACTGTATTTCCTTTTAAGTGAGAAATTTCTTCTTAAAAAAACTTCTATAAGATCTTTTCAAGTTTAAAAAATTATTTGGGAAAGCAATTTAGAGTCAAGTTTTTGAAACAAGTGTGACAACCAGTGTGCTTCATTTCAACATTGAGTTTTTGTCAAATATTTGGCCAGATTTTCTGGCTGCTATGAAATTTTTTACAACTGATATCAGTGAGTAGCTCAGCTTAAGGGCATCCAGAACAGCTACTAAAATGTCTCAGTTTTATTTGGAAAAAAAAAAAGGACTCAATTCAAGTACAAAGGAAAACGCACTTTCACAGTGCCTGTTCACCATATCTTAATAACAAATTTATTGCAACCTGGAGTTCACCATATCTTTATTGCAAATTAACCAAAGACAGTTCATGAGCTATAGAAAGTAAACCATTTAAATTCTTGAAACTTTAAAAATGGTTAAAGGGATTTTAAAAATTCACATAGCCTTTAATCTCGGTTTTGTGAAAAACAAGATTAAACAAGAAAAAAAACACCCTAGTTTTGTTTTCTGTTCTACAAAGTTATTTTTCTTCTCTTCTGAGGCCAGTTTCCAAAGAACAGAAGACATCACTCTTCTGCTCTGCGGTCCCATTAATAATGGTTGGTAACACAGGTAAAGAGACCATTCCATTACAGGAACACACTAAAAGCATGAACAAAGGTGGATTTTCTTTGTGCTGGCTGCTGGCCTGTCTGAATTGATGCTTTGTTGTTCCATCTAATAACAAATGACCTCATGCAAGTGACTGATTTTGTTAGCGTACTCTGTAAAAAAAAAATCTTGATTACCTTTAATTGTGATGTTGCATTTGTGGTGATAAGGAAAGGGAAGTTGGGCTAAGCTAAGGCTTAGCTGTGACTAGCTGTTTACAGGTAGTTCACCTCCCCATCCTATAGCAATTAGTCCTCCGATGTGCTCCTTCTGCCGTTCCACTTTTTATACCCCAGCACCTCAGCAAAACTAACTCCCAAACAACCCACCAAAGCAAAACAACAGTAACAGCCTAGAGAAGGGAAGATGAGGGTGATTTGTATTAGTGCCACTCTCCTGCTCAATTTAAAAACATGATAAACATTTATAAAATTTCCTGTGTGACAAAGAGAAAAAGTTTAACAGTTTATCTACAAATCAATGTGATTTAGATAAATCACTTTATCTAAAAATCCTTGATTAAAGTTAAAGGAATGAAATATAAGTTTCTTGAGGACTACTCCTGTGTCTTTATCCTTGTATTTCCAGTGGCCAGTATGTGATTAGCACATAGTAGATATTTACTGAAGGAATTTACTAATGGCACAGGATGAGAGAAAGCCGACATAATATCAGTTTGTTTCAATGACTGTAAATTTTTTTTAATGTCTTAGTCTGTTCTTGTCTTATAGTCTCATTTAAAAAAGATTTTTTCCCCGTTTGGATGTTTAAATATATTTATGTTTAAGTATCTTTGAGATTATTTTGTTGGTTCTAGGTGTTGTCCCATTTGTCAGTCCACTGACTCACCTTCATTATGGTTTGCAAATTTTGACTGAATTCACATTTAGTGAGAGCTGTTTGCATGGAGAGATTTGCATATCCGAGGTTGTAGAAGTCTTCCTTAGGCCTTGTGAGTTTTATCAGTTCTAGACAGGTTTCTGTGTTAAATTTCTTAGCCTAAAAGTTTCTATACTTCACAGTAGTATGAGTTTGGGCTCTCTATGTATCTGCATGAGCACAGTTTTGGTGACTAGTTTCTCATCCCTGGTGGCACATATGGTGAAGAATCTGCCTGCAATACGGGAGACCTGGGTTTGATCTCTAGGTCAGGAAGATCCCTTGGAGAAGGGAATGGCTACTCACTGCAGTATTCTAGCCTGGAGAATCCCATGGACAGAGAAACCTGGCGGGCTATAGTCCATAGGGTCGCAAAGAGTCAGACACAACAGCGACTAACTTTCTCATCGATGACTGTTGGCAGATATTGTACTTCCTTGTTCCTTTTTAGACCAGTGAGTGGAGTTTTTCTAGTCTTCATCTCAGAGAGAGCCTCCTTCTGGTCCTGGCCAGCCACCCACTGTAGAAGCATCATCTTTCTTTTTCTTTGGCAGTAAGACCTCAGCACCAGTGGTGAAGGTTCACATTTAGGGGCCCTATCTGATTCCCCTCTGAGCCATCACGCCCTTGTTCATTCCTTCTCTGTTTTTATGCCTTCTTTATTTCTAGCACCTGGAGGCTTCTTTCTTGCTCTTATACTCTGATCTATAATATTAAATGTTTTGGATTGTATTTTGTCTAGCATTTAAGTGTGTTTGGAGCAGGAATTCAGTCAGCTATGATGACTAAGAAGCCTTACTGTTAACTTACATTGATAGAGAGCTGGATTTTTTTTATGTGAC